ATTTATTTGGAAGAATGAAAGACCCAGAATAGCCAAAGGAATTCCAAGCCAAAAAGGCAATGCTGGAAGCATCACAATAGCTGGCTTCAAATTTTACTACAGAGCTATAGTAACAAAAATCGCATGGTGCTAGCATAAAAACTGATACATAGACCAGTGGTACAGATTAGAAGACACAGAGACAAACACATACAGATACAGTTATGGTCATCTGATTTTGACAAAGGTACCAAGAACATACAATAGAGAAAAGATAACCTTTTAAACAAATGGTGCTGGGAAAACTGGTTATTCATATGTAGAAGAATGAGACTAGACCTTTCTCTCTCATCCTGCACAAAAGCCAACTCAAAATGGATCAAAGACCTAGGAATTAGACCAGAAACTATGCAACTCCTGGAAGAAAACATAGGGTCAACAGTCCAATAGGTAGTCACAGTCAATGACTTTCTCAATTGGACCCCTAAAGCTCAGGAAATAATGCCAAGAATTAATAAATGGGATGGCATCAAATTAAAAACTTCCACACAGCAAAGGAAACAGTTAAGAATGTGAAAAGAAAACTTGCAGAATGCGAGAAAATCTTTGCTAGCTACTCTTCTGACTAAGGATTAATATCTAGAATGTATAAAGAACTCAGAAAACAAACAAACAAACAAACAAAAAAAACCCCCAACAACCCAATTAATAAATGAGCAAATGAACGAAACAGACATCTTTTAAAAGAAGAAACACAAATGGCCAACAAATCCATGAAAAAATGTTTGACATCATTAACAATTAGAGAAATGCAAATCAAAACTATCCCAAAATTTCCTCTCACTCCAGTCAGAATGACAGTCATCAAGAATACAAACAAATAATAAATGCTGGAGAGAATATGGAGTAAAAGGAATGAACAATTTTATACTGTTGGTGGGACTGTAAATTAGTACAACCACTGTGGAAATCAGTATGGAGATTCCTTAAAAGACTAGGAATGGAACCACCTATGACCCAGCTATACCACTCCTTGGTATTTATCTTTAAGAGTTAAAATTATCATACTACAGTGACATATGCATACCCATATTTATAGCAGCATAATTCACAATAGCCAAAACTATGGAACCAGCCTAGGTGTCCATCACCTAGGCTAAAGAAAATGTGTGTGTGTGTGTGTGTGTGTGTGTGTGTGTATATATATATATATATATATATATAATAAAGTTTTTTATTCAACCATAAAGAAAAATGAAATTATGTCACTGCAGGAAGATGGATGCAACTTGAGAACATTATGGTAAGCAAAATAAGCCAAACTCAGAAGGTCAAAAGTTGTATGTTTTCTTTCATATATGGAAGCTAGAGAGAAAAAAGGAAAAGAATAGTGGTGATGGGGAATCTTGTGAAAATGGAAGGGAGATCAGTAGAGCAGAGAAAAGGGACCAGGAGAAGGGAAGGGGAGAGGGGAAATACTGGCAAATGATATTGACCAAATTATTTACTTATATTGGATGTATGTACAAATGTGTAACAACAAATCCCACAAGTATGTACAACTATCATGCACCAGTAAAAATATGGAATTAAAAAATGTTGACAGAAGATTAGCAAAAATAGGCTGTTCTTAAAGAAGAATTAGAAAATCTTACTTAGGACGGAATTTTCCTATCCTGAGATAAAGCTGCACAACCAAAGGTACAATAATGAATTTGGTTCCTTTGTGAGGATTAAATATTAATCAAGCAATATCTGGCCCAATTTGTGACCTTGATTTAAATTCTCTGGCCTATATTTTATAGTAAGTGTTTATAAGCTATTCAAAAAAATGTTTAAAAATAAACAGATCATTAAAACATATGAATATGGTTTGTAATCACAGATAGAGGGGATAAATCTTCCCAAAAGGAGCCCAATGATTATATCCTTCTTTCCTTCCGTGTTTGTTCTAATATTCAAATAACATTTGGAGAATTCAATTAATAACTGTTAACAAGTAGAACATTTCCTGGATATTTTATAGTTATTTTTTTGCTCTCTCAGCATCATTTTCCCCATTAGCCTATTAAACCCCTTCTTGCTATGGCCTCTGAGATTCCAGGGACCCTACCCATCCTACATCTTCTTTGGTGGTTCCTCTTTGCCGATTCTTCTCTACCTGTCCTGCCCATGTCTGAGCTCCTGTGTTAAGCCCCCTTCTCCTTCCTCTTCCCCTTTCCCTCTCTTCTCTTCTCACTGTAGGATTCCCTACAAAATCCTACCTAGTACATGGCTTCAGTTACCATGTCAGGGTCCACCTGCCTACCTGAGAGACCTGAATTCATCAACAGTTTCTCTTATTTGACATGCCTTGACTCCAACCCACAGCTCTGCTCTTCATCTAACCCTTCCCGTCTCAGGTATACCCCGCTGCAAACCTTGACTTGCCCCATCTCATGCAATCTATCACTAAATCCTTTGCAATCTGTTGACTGATCAGCTCGAAATGACCTTCTTGGCCACCGCCTCCTCCAGACTGCCAGCCTCTTGTGCTTCCACATTTCCCTTCACGTGGTCAAATTCTATTCATGTAACATGCAGAATGATCTTTTTAAAAATGAAGCTTTTTATCAGCATATAGCAAAGTTACATTTTTAATCACTACAATTCAGATTCACAAAAAATATAACTTAATTTTCCTAAAAATAGACTTAATTTCTACTTCTTAGGGTTCATCTTTACTTTCTTTTTTTTTAATTAGTTGCTCAAGACAATACAGTGATCTTGACATATCATACATTTGATTCAAATTCTAGTATTATTATTATTATTTTTTTTTAGCAAATCCTAGTTCAACTCAATTGCTTTCAATTGTCTTAGTGTCTAAGTAAACTTAGCCATTTTGGGTTTCTGACCTTCCCATTTGTCAGCTCAGGGCCACATCAAAGTTGGGGGTGGGGTGAGAGATTTCAGCATCTCTAAGGCATTAGTGAGGAGTGGACACCTGTTCTATAGCCATTTTGGGCTGTTCAACAGCATCTGTTGAGTGACTTGTCCTGTCTAGTCTCTGGTCACTGGCATCAATGGCATCTTCCCTTACTCCTAGATTTTGGAATGTCAGGTCCACCCAGGTCCTTTTGTGCCTTCTGAGCTACTTCAGACCCTCTCTGAGGTACTTTCTTTGCTACTCTTGGGCACTCAGGACAATTTGATGTTTGCCAATTTAGCCTTCAACAATTGTAGTAGAATACATACCCTCTCCACCTATATAGGGAATAAAAAGATTCTTCCTCTAAACCTAAAGGGTTAAAGAAATAGTTCTCTTCATGTAAACTAATAATTGATCTTTGACATTCTTCTTAAGTCCAAGTAAAACAATGGAAGATTAAAGACAAAAGTGAATCATGACTTGATTTTTCTAGTGTCATTCTGCTGCTTATCCAAAGTCCCTCAAAAGTGATAGCCAGGCCACATACCAACAGCTTCCACAACCTCCCAACGTAGTGCTTCCCACTTCTACCTCCTCTTTCTAGCCATGGACTTGGATAAACATGGACTATATGATCTGCTTTGCAGGTGTCCTGCCTGACTTCCCCTGCATCCCCACACCTCTGCACCTCACTGCCCACACATACCAGCATAGTCACATGCAACCTGCAGCTGATACCCTCCTCCTCTGCCTAGTCACAGGTCATGTGCCTTGGGACACAGGTCATGAGCAGCAGCCAACCTAAGGACCTCTGGGATCTGACTTGCTAAAATTCTATTCTTTAAAGCAAAAGGTTGTGGCCAGAACCAGAGAGCAGGAGAGCATCAGCAGAAAGCACCCAAGTACCAGCAGGTGCACAGTTTTTTTGTTGAAGTTTCCTTGTTGAAGCTTTAAGCTTCGCCACAATTCTTGACTTGGAAAGCAATATGGCAGGGTAACTGATAGAAATATTGCCTATTTCCCCTTCCTCCCATGCTAGGAGAGTAGCTGAGCTCATCTTAGTATTTTCTTGCCTCAGAGATTTTGTGAGGAAGACATCAGAAGCTACATGAGGCCAGTTGCTCTTCCTGTCTTTCCTAAGAGTCAAACTCATTCCAAAGATGGCATCAAGTATCTGGCAAGAAAGCAGAAGGCCTAAAAGAAAGTGAGGGAAAATAAATGCAGATTCTTTCAGAAAAATCTCCCAGAGGTCAGCAGGGTCCACATAGATGGGAATCCTGAAATTTTGAGTGGCCGTTGATATGGAGGTGATCAGGCCACAGAGGGGAGGCCACCTGGAACATGGCGGACAGTGAAACTCCAGACCTCCAGTTCCCAGGTGCAGCCTGTAGGGTCTGAGAATAGCAGAGATTCTCAATTTGAAGGGGTCATGGAGGCCAGCTGGGATGATGGGTATCCTAGCAATAACTTCACAGACAAATGGCTGGTAAATACAGACTCTATTTGACCTTCACTAGCCTCCCTAGGCCTTTGTACAGCCCTGCGGTGGGGGGTTGATGATTAATGAGGTTGAATTCTTCACCAGTTTAGTTTGGTGCAATGGGGCCCGTGTATGAGTAAGGCTGACCAGAAGAAAATTTTATAATGGCATTTCTTATATATCTGGGTTTTGTACATCTGAACAGAGATTTGCACTTTCCACACTATACTTAAGTTTGCTAGTGTTGACCAAAGAAATAGAAATATTTCATGTGTCTGTTTTCTTCTATTGATCCTGAATCCCGGCCTACTTTCTCTAAACCATTGTTTATTGTTCCCTTCTGGGTGTCATATGACAAGTTCTAATTAAAGTGTGTAAAAGACACACACACACACAAAAAAAAAAAAAGTAAAAGAAGAAAACAAGAGGAGAAAGATGTATGAGAAGGTAGGAGGTAGGTAGAACATTCTGGAAAAATGTGTATATGCTTATAAGAAATGGAATGGAACAAAGGTTCCCCTGGAGACAGAACAAGTCACCTCAAATCTGCCATATAATACAGGTGGGAAACTAATAAAGTGTCTGGCAATTTCTCCCCCGTTAGGAAATTCTGGCTTTATTGATTTTTACCTGAGAGGCACTGCTGAGAAGAAACCGTTCCATTAATTGACTTACAAGGATCAACACCCAGATAAAGTGGCTTCAGTTGCTGTGACAAAATCATTTCATTCATTTTTTTCTGCAGAATGAAATATTCTTCAGATAACTTTGATATCTAAAAAGGTCATGTGTCAGAACAAATCAAGAAAAAGAATTCTTAGAATTCCATAGGAACACAGCGGTCTTCTGAATTCTTTATTAACATTCCCTGTCACTCCCATGCTCTTCTTTCTCTAGAACCCACCCTGACTTCTGTACCAGGTCTGATAAAGTCCTCACTTAACATAACAGATGTGTCATGCCATCTCCATCAAGTCCTTCCTGGGGTTCCTGAGATCTGACATCTGCCCTTACCATTCTGCTGGGATTGCCTTTCTAATTCTACCCTGAGGAAGCCCTCTGCTGCCTTTCACTATACTAAGCTTCACTCGTTCTTTCTTTTTAAAATATTTTTATTAGTTATAGATGGACATAATACCTTTATTAATTTTTTATGGGGTGCTGAGAATTGAATCCAGTGCCTCACACATGCTAGGCAAGCACTTTCCCACTGAGCCACAACCCCAGTCCTTTCCCTCTTTTTCTTTCCAGTCTTAGCTTGACTTCAGGGCACCTCTCTCTTTCCAGCCTACCCAGCTCTATAACCTGGCTGTCCCGCTAGGGTGAGTGTGGGCTCCTGCTTGTCTGCCTCTGTGGAGCACTGAATCCACTCCCATGGTGTCATTAGCCAGCCCTAGTGGATAAATCCGTAATGCTAATTCTTTTTGGTGTCTCAGTGACATAGTAGGTCTGGGTTTTAATCCCTGATTTGATTTTTGAGTGGGCAAATTTATGCACCAAATGTGAATTCACTATCCATTCATTCATGAATATGAATTCACTATTTCCGGGTGCCTAAAACAAAACAAAACAAAACAAAAAAACAAAATAGGGACTAGGTAAATTAATCAATGGCAGACCTCCACTGACAGCCAGAGGTTGGAGATGTTAGACCATTCCTGTAGCACTAAGATGGGGACCAAGGCCAATGATTGCATTTTTCATGGGCTCAGCTGCCATCAGAGACAAAAGGCAGATTTTAAGGGCTCAGGGATACTAGATAATACTTCCTTGAACTGGCCTATTATGATATTTCTTCTTATTTTATATACCATTGACTACCCTAGGAATTCATGTATTTTAGAGGTCACCACGTTAAAACCTTTCACTTTATACAGAATAAAATAAAGTGCTAGGACAAAGTCATTTCCTTCAGGTTAAATGCCTAGAAAGAGCAGGAACTGGAATAGAACTTAACAGGAACTGGTTCCTATATCTCCCCACAGTAATAATTGGTTAGAAATCCATATATGCCTGCCAGAAGCCTTAAAACCTGAGACATGTCTATGGGTGACATGAAATAATCTCTATGAGAGAATTTCTTGTGTTTTTTTTTCTTTGTGGTCTTAATTATCCATGATTTGCTTATTGTTGTGAGGGTTTCATTAGATATGTATATTATTATGGCTACATATTTCATTTTAACATCTAATTATGCCCTTTCAACTAAAATTGGAGTCAGGGAGAAAGAATAAACTAGGGGGCTTACAAAACTTATATATATTTTTAGCAGTAACAAAAGGTCTTACAGAAACATGAAATTTTGCACTATCCGACCCCAGTCTTTTAAAACCTCTCCAGTATCCTCACTACATGAGGTTTCTACCACATTTTTTGCTTTTTTAAAATCATAGTAAATTTTTAAAAAAATTATACAGCATTTAAATAGTATAATCCTCAAGACACTTAATTAAAAAGGTCTCAAACAGATGAAACAATGCATCAACGATTCATCATTTGTTTAATTAAGCTACTGGGTCATTCCCAGAGAATTATACTAGTAAATAAATTTGTTTGTATACATACCTGTTTTGAAAATATTGCCAAATCACAGGCTTCTTTTTCTGAAGTTGCTTTTGAGTGTCTGTCATCCTTCATCTTGATATTGGGGGTTTCCTCATGTTTTGAGGGACAGGAATACACATTGTAGGTGTTTCTTGTTACTTCTGCTGGTGTTGCCAGAACCTTTTCATTATTAAAAGAAGGAGACACCCTGCCCTCCCCTAGTTGCTGCCTTTGCATAAATCCCCCATATTTGTTCTGAGTGAACACAGCAGCTTTGCTTTCTTCCTGGTCCTGTATCATTGGTTCAACGGGCCTCTCTTTGACTGCCTGGTATCTCTGATGGCCTCTCTCCTGGCTGTACACAGATGAATTCTGGGTAACTACTGAAGTCTTTTCTTTTTCTTTGCTATGATGTGCATTTTGAGAAACTGACCTTTGGTTAAGAGTAGGTTCCCAAGTCTTTTTAAAGGAATTCTCATTCTCAGCTAACCAAAGTCCTGGGTCGCATGGCCCTTCTGATGGGATCCCCTTTCCCAGATATGCTGCTTTGGATTCTTCAAAATTCCTTTCTTGAGTGTACCTCTGATAATGACTCTGGATCACAGTGTTTTCCTCCCTTGTCTTTATTTTGTTTTCTTCTTGGTCTTTGATATACTTCTGTTTGGGGCTTACTTCTTCTGCCCAGGGGTGCCCGATGAGGTACAGTTCTTGATCAGCCTTTTCTCCATACACATTATTCACTTTTTGCTGAGTTTGATATCCTCTGTTGTTACTCTCAACAGCATTGGTGGCTTCCCCTTTGGTTTTGAAAGTAGAAGCCTTCCCTATCAAAGGACTCCCTTTACTATTTAAATCTGGAATCAGAGTTTCATTAGTAGATACTAAATTTTCTGTCCGTTTCTTCACAAAAGATTCCCTGCACAAAAAATATTAGATCTGAATACATGATGATACTAAAACAAGAGCTTATTACTTCTTTTGGCAACAGCTACAAGCCATAAAAGGGTGGGAGAAAAACAAAAGGAGCAAAAAGAGCTCAAAAAAAATTTTTTAGCAAGTTACATTAATCAAGAGCTTCCCAAAATGTTCTACTCTATTCTACAACTATTTGAGTAATGAGAAAACGTGTTTCAGCTTAGAGGCAGATACAGGCAAGCACACAAAGATCCATATTTTCATTTCATGAGATATCAAAATTCTAGGAATTTAATTGTATCATTTTTAGAACAAAATGCCACGTGATGAGAGGTGGTGGGAAACATGCCTAGTTTTGAGACCAGTAAGCAGAGTGTGTACATGAGGTTCAGGTAGATAGTTTAATAACCACCAAGTATATTGATCACAGGAAATGGCTTGCAAAATTAAAGCTAGAGCAGTGTCCCCAATAGAGCTCTGATCGTTATTGCTTTGCCAATATCCTTTAAAACTGATTTCACCTTAACTTGAAATAAGGAAATTGGCCTTCTTTATAGCTCCCCCTCCTCTGCAAGCCAAGGCCAAAACCCTCACAAGAGCAATACAGACATGAAAATGGCATTTAGAATCATGGCATTTGCAGGTAAATCATTGGAGTTGGAGAAGATAATGCTAAGTGAAGTTAGCCAATCCCCAAAAAACAAATGCTGAATGTTTTCTCTGATATAAGGAGGCTGACTCCTAGTGGGGTAGGGAGGGAGAGTTTGGGAGGAATAAATGAACTCTAGATAGGGCAGAGGGGTGAGAGGGAAAGGGAGGAGGCAGGGGATTAGCAAGGATGGTGGAATGTGATGGTCATCATTATCCAAAGTACATGTATAAAAACATGAATTGGTGTCAACATACTTTATATACAACCAGAGATATGAAAAGCATTCCACTGTCATTTATTATTTTTTTAAAATCAACTAAAAAATGGCATTTAGGTGGAGTTAAAAAGTCACAACATGGCATTCTAATACCTCTCCCTTCTCTCTGGGGGGCTTGTGCCCAACACTTTCAAATCAGCCCAGAACACTTGTGAGAGTTTTGGTCTTTTGCAATTTGAGAAGAAGGACTCTTCTTTGAGTCAAAGGTGGAAAAATCTCCTGGGACTTCATTTTCTTAATACCACTGACCACTTGTTAGGCCTTCTGTGGCATCTTCTGAAGGCTTATCAGAATCTTGGATGAAACAGAAAACGATGCAGGGCACCACAAATCCCAACCATCATTTCGATGAGTGGCCATGCTAGTAATTAAATACTTCATCTTAATTAAACTCACCAGAATATTTATATTTAATCAAAATATGCAACTAATGAGAGAAGATAAGCATGTAATCTCTAAATGTCTACACTCCGGAAACAAACAAACATTATAAGTTAGTATTGAGACTTCAAATGCATCTTACTGGTAAGCCCTTGTATGCACTGTTCAAACTGCCAGGTCCATCCCATATCAATTATATGTCTGAATTCATGCTACAGAACATTCCGCTGTGCGCTGGAGGCTAGCACAGCACATGGAGGACTTTTAAAGGTTTTCCAAGATGCTTCTCAGGAGAACCTTTCAGAGCTCCAGCAGGGGAAGGACTAGTGATCATCTCTTCTGACTCCTGCTGGAGAGGGTGGGAGGGCTCAACCTTTCTCCAAATCCTGAGTGTGGTTTTCTAGGTCACAGGTCAGGGGCTGCTCAATGAAGGGTAAAGAAAACCAAGGGTTTCAGGTGGCTGCAGGAAAGGAAAGTCAGAAGTTGTGGAGGGCTGAGGGTGCTAGAGAGCAGAGCTTGGTAAGTGGGTGTGTGCCAGGTGCACCTGCTTCACTTTCCCTGACATTTCTTTCCTGCCTCTGAACGTCCCTTGCTTCTCTACTTGTACTTTTTCTTAGAAATTAAATTTACTTTAACTGATGCATAAAACACAAAAGTTATACGTATTAATGGGGTACCGGGTGATGTTTCAATACATGTAGCCATTGTGTCATGGAGTTAAACATATTCATTTCCTCCAACTTTATCACTTCTTTATGGCAAACACATTCAAAATCCTTGTACTTCTTTTATGTCTGGTTTTGCAGTGCACTGCCTCTGACAGGCCAATAAATGTCAAATTCCCCATGCCAGTCCATGTGGGGAAGGTTTCTTATTCACATTCATGAGCTCTAAAGTGGATCTGACATGTAGTAGATGCTTAATAAGTATCTGCTAAATTGAAAGCTAACCCTTGGTGTCCTCAGAAGATGCAAGCAAATTAGTGTCTAACCGAACATCAGACTTCCTCATTAAATGTAATATCTAAAAGTAGTAATTTAAATTCTACAGGTAGTAATTTCTAAAAGTAGTAAAATTGGTGTTTCTTTCTTCCATCTGCAACCAGTTTACATATCTCACAGAGAGCATCCATCCTCCTGTCCCTGAGGCATGCAGGTGGTCACTCTGAAGTTTGCTGGAATGCGTTATAACTAGTCACAAGGAGAAACAAATCACTTGGACTGTTTGTTACAGACAAGGACAAAGAGCATATATGCAGGTCTTTGAATACACAAAAAACTGAAGACACCACCAAATGCCTTTGCCTTTCAGATAAACGTTGTGTTTGTCAAACAAGGAAACAAGGCTGGCCTGGGTGACATAGGGAGAGTGTGGGTGAAGGTGAGGGGAAGAAATGGTAGGAAAACCATCTATGAGATTCACTATTGGTATCAGTGTGTTGGGTGAGAGACTACCAGGTGTGGGTGAGTGGGGAGAGAAGGACATCATCTCTTCTTCTATCTCATTCTTTCACACTTTCTGTACCCAGCTCTGATGTTAAAGTTGGGGCTGGAACCATCTTTACCTCCCTGGAGAATCAGTCACTTATCTTTTGATCAATTCAACATCTAGGTAGTTTTCCTTCCTTAATTTTTATCCTGAAGGCAGGGTTCCCTCCTCCTTACCCTCTCCAAACTGCTTGCATATTTTAACCCATTTCATTAGAAATGTACTTATGGGTCATATTTCTTTCCTAAGAAAATGGAAGCAATTTGTTGAGATTTTGTTTCATTTATCTATGTGTGCCCACTGCATAGCAAACAGCTTGCTGAATAAATGAGTTCAGGTGATCTGCTCATATGCACTTGGAAACATACATATTGGCATATTGGCTCTTAGACCACAGAAATGAATGAATGAACCCAAGGACATTGTTTAGATGAGGAGAGGTATTTGAATGTGGGCAAAGGAATTATTATCAAAGAATACTCGGTCTTTGGAACAGAACTACTTCCAGAAAGCAGTCTGTCTGGTAGAGGCCAAGGGGAGCCACAGTAGCCTGAAAAGAATGCATGATGATCAGTGTGAGATACTAATGACCTCCCAGCTAAGATAAGAGCACAAGGGTGGCCGCTACATGTTTACTGACATTTTTGGGGTCAGTACCTGGTTAGTATGAGAGAGACTGTGAACACTCTTCTATGACCTTATTGGTTTGAAAAACCTGTGTTTCAAATTGGCACAAGAAAGAACATCATTCTACCTCTTATTTTCAAAGTTTTTCTTGTAGTCAAGTCCTTGATCACACATCTGGATGGTTGCTCCTGCTGTGTTTTTCATGTCAACCATTTCTTTTCTTTGTTTCCTGGCTAGATGTCCTCTTGCAGCTGAAACATGCAAGGCCCAAAGCAGTGTTGAACAGAAACAAGTGTTTTTGACAACTTATTTTTTGACCACCAATTTTCAAAGGGAAACTGAAATTAAAGATGCCACATTGTTTTTTTTTTTTTTTAAATGGGCTCAGTAACAAGATGCTTCTAGATACAATTTACAGTCATAGACTCCCTGAAGGGTCTTTCATACTCAAGGAAGGACTAAAATGAAACTAGAATGATACAGATGAACCAAGTCAATGACAAAATTGCCAAAAAATTTTCCTTTTTTTTTTTTTTTTTGTTATGTTCTACTCTTTACGGGAGAAAGTCCTTATTATCATATTATCTAACTGCAGGTTTTGGACATTTGGCCAATTATCCTTGGGGCCTGATACATTTCAGAATTTGGATTACAGAATTTTGCTTTAGCTTGGTGCAGTGCGTGTGTACCCGTAGTCCCAGTTACTCAGGAGGCTGAAGTGGGAGGGCTGTTTGAGTCCAGGAGTTTGAGACTAGCCTGGATGACATAGTAAGACCCCCATCTCAGACCCAAAAGAAGTATTTTATTGTAGAAAGGAAACAGTGAGTGATCATCTATTCTGTAACATTCCTCATGTCAAGAAAGCATCCCGTATCAAACGAATGAAGACTTCAGAAAAATGGAATATTTCAACTCAATGGAATGAATACAGAACTGCACATAACTTCACATTATATTAGGACATGTTCCACTGCCAAATGATTTCTGAAAGACTTGTTCTCAGAGCTTTGTGCATTTCAGAACGGTGGATGAAAAATTAGATCTCAAATTATAGGGACTACATTTTGATGTCTTAGCGAGAAGTTCACAGCTTAAAATTCCAAAAGAGATAATGATGGCCTGCTATTGATTGATAGAACTGGGACTGGGATGTGACTATCTTGAATGTCAGTTATTCCCACAACAAATCAATTTTCTGCAGAATACAACTACACACCTTTAGAGGATCATAAAATTGACTTAGTGGCCAAAATCTAGCATCTAAAAATGAAATGAAATAGACTAGAATAGAAAATATCAGAGTGTATTGCTGTGTGGTTTGTATCAGGTTATCACGTAAAATACATATTTTACGATGGGTATCCATAGTCGAAATGTTTGAATGACGTGGTACCAACCATACTAGGCTCTATTTAAATTTAGCATCCTGTAGAAAAATAGACAGCAAAATACAAAGTCTATTAACATTTCAAGAAGAATTTGTGAAGGAAAGTACGATTATAGATCTTATTTCCCTAGAGCTAGTAAAAAGAAATGAATGCCCTTTAACAAAATAAAATTTAATTAAGTTGTCAAAAATTATGGCAAGTGTAACCTTTGGAATACAGTAGGAAAAAAATCTCATTGTCAGATGAATTATAGTACTGTAATATGATTCTTGAGATCCATAATTAATTCAATAATTTGCCATATCTTGTGCAATAGGTCAATTGCATTTCACTAATCCTTGACTGAAAATTTAAAAGTTATTTTACTTGAAACAAAAAATTATTCAAATATTAGAAGTGTCAGTCACTGAAACAATCTGATTAGATTTAACATAGAGGAAAATATCAAGGCTACCCAGACGGGGGGTAAACATATAAGCTACATGAAAATTGGAGGTCTGTATATAGCAAGTGCTAGAAGATCTGATTTCATGCCTATATCAAAACAGAACATTATGCTTTGTTACATTGTGAAGTGTCTGAGTAATTACCTGACTGAATTATTATAGCACTTTCTTTCCTTTTCTGTTGTATTTTTTGGTATCTTCTTGAAGCCAAGAATGCTCTGACACAGGCTTGAATCAAAATGAGCTTGTCAATGGCTTCTTTCCGCATTAGATTTAACTGTTCCACATGATAATATTTAAGGAACACCTTAAAAGAATTAAAATAAAATGTAAATAAAACCATGGCACACAAATGTAAAGCAATCATGTACTATGCTTTGAAGAAACAAATAGGCTGTATGGTCAATCTCTTTTAGATTTTGGGAATCACTTATCTTTTGCTTGTTTGGCCCTGGCATTGCTTGGATAGCACAGATTTTTGTGCTTGAAGAAAACCATTCTCTGAGTAAGAATCAGAAGATGGCAATGATACTGCTCATTTACAACAGGAAATTTTGGGTTCTGTTGGATGCAATAATTAGAGTGAAGGATGTTGAGCTCTTCTAGAAAAATTTTAGCATCATGTATTCTGGGTTAAACAATTTTTTATGTCGTAAATAAAAAAAAGGCAATGATACTTCCCAGAGACAATATAGTTATTTGTTTGTCAACTGTTTATTTAGATCTTATGTGTACTTATCTGGTGGGGATACAAAGATAAATAAGACAGAGGCACTGTCTTGTAGAGCTCATAGGGCTGTCTGTGGAGGGTGTAAGGCAGAGAGAGTGACCCAGGCAGGTTTAATTAACCCAGTAAATCCAAAGTTTTCAATTCTGTGAATATTTCAATGAAATTGACATCAATGCATTAAATTAGGTTGGGAATCACAATCTGAGCTTATATACTTTATGTATATTTGTATATGTGGAAAGACATATACATAAATATACATATATATATTTCAAATGCTCTAATCATTCACTAATCATTGTTACTTTTTTCAAAAGAACAGAACTCTAAAAACATACTATTTATTTCAAAAGTTACCGTAAGTCATATATTTTTTGCTCGATTTAAGTTTTTATATGTATCCCACAACATTTGGCTCAATTTAAGTTTTTATATGTATACCAAATCTGGGAGGATGGGACTTAACATATTAACAATGTTCTCACTAGATCCAAATGCCATCTTCTAGAAAGGAGGGCTGACTTTGGATCACTCTAAAAAATTAAAAGAAATAACAACAGGGAAGAGGCATAAAGATCTGGAGTGGTCTTCTCATCTTAGAATTTCTAACTTCCCCATTGCCCCTAAGGAAATAAAAAGTTTTTTTTTCCTGATGGATAAATTTACTTATGAAGGTTACTTCAAAGAGTTTATTGAATCTATCAAGAAAGTCACTTAAATTCATATTTTATGGCTGACTCATGACACATGGTAACCCTGCATGGAGGATCTCTCAGTGTTCCATTGAACTTGAAAAGCTTGGTACCCACATGCAAATAGTTTAGCATTATAGATTTTGATTGAATTCAGTTTTAATTACTACAGAACTCTACATGTTAATGTATTGAGTCCATTCTTCTGTTGACAATTCATTTAAAATACAATCTGTTTGAAAAGGTCATTATTTTTTTTTGCATAACATTAGAAATGTCCTTATATTAAATACTTTTATCCATGTTAATGAGTTAGAAAAGGTGAAGTGGAAAAATACAAATAGCTTTAAAATGCTACTTAAATATCATGCAAAACTGGGATGGCAAAGGGCCTTTCTACAAGTTAAAACTCCATTTGAAGTTAAGCATGCGTTTCAGACCATAAATGAGGAAATTTCAGCCTGACAGAATTCATTTTTGTGAGCATCTAAAAGAAAACAGTGTGAATAAAATATGTATCTTTCTTTTCAATGCCAGGATTTTCCCTGTCTAAATATTAAAGTAAATATGGATTACTGAACGTGTAGGACATTGAGTCTAAGGTAGACTTTTTTTTTGTTTTTAAATCCCTTACATTATTTCAGTACTAACACCTCATCTGAACATTATGAAAATTCTCTCTCAATCCTCCAGCCCCCAAGAAACAATACAAATTTCTTTGCAAATGTGGAAGTTTGTCTTGGCACTGTTGTGGTGTGGCTGATAATAATTACCCTTAAATGGCCAATCTATGAATATCTCTTCACTTATGCTCAGCCTATTATGTTATCCTCCCCAGTGATGAGTTCAGCATGCCCTAAGATACATTTAGTGTGCACTGGTACCCTGTTTATTTCCTTATCTTTATCTTGGGATGCTAAGAGGATATCTGAAAATCCAATGCAGCTTCCCTCCAAACAGCTACCATCTTATTTCCATATTCAAGAAAGGTTGTAACTTTCTATTTTATTCTCAAAGGGATTAAATAGGATAAGATCCCACTGGTTCTCAAAGCTAAAAATAAACACACCACTATCAAAGCACATAGAGCAAGTCTAGCAATAATGGGGAATATTTGACTCTAGATAAATTTCAAAATTTATAATAGAAGAAAACTCGAAAATTAAAAAAAAGAAAAAGAAAAACAGGAATCCTATTTTGATCACTTTGATTCTCTACAGCTTTTCAACTCTATTTGTTGGTGATTACAATAGGGAAATTGTATCAGTCTGTTTTCAGTACCATTTGAAGTAAAGTATATTCATGATAAATTTTGTCTGTTTTTGGATAAATCTTTGAGATACAATGTTCTTTGAGATAATTTTTTCTTGCATTTCTTAAAAGAAACCTTTATGAAGAACAAAAGTATTTAATTTTGATGAAGGAAATCTTTATGGATTTGTAAATTTATATCTCCTATTTTAAAACAGAATTCATAAGAAATCATAATATTTTCATTTTTTTTTTTTTTTTTTTTTTGCAGTTCTGGGGGTCAAATCCAGGGCTTCAAGCCTGCCAGGCAAGTGCTCTACCACCGAGCTACATGGATCCCTATAATACTTTCAATCACTGTTAAATACTATAATTCTTAATAAATCATTGCTTCCCAAGAAAATTACATGAAGTGTTACTTTTGTTTTTCCAAGAGCCCAGTTATCAAGGCCAGCTTTTTCCAAAATGGTGGCACAGGTGTCAGGGCTCACGGGGGGCTCTTCACTGGACTTGTAGCAGAGAACATAGTACCTGAAAACAGAAAAAAAGAAATGGTTAGCACCATTCAGTGGAGTGGTCCAACATCTCAGCAGCCTGGTGGCCACTCCACAGCTTTGTCCAGGGATGGGGAAGAGAATCCCAGACTTAATGCAGAGGACACTTTAGGAATTCTCAGAGAAGCTTCAAAACACATCAGTTCCAGGCCACTCTAATAGCAAGCCAGTCTATTTGTATACATGTGAGTGTTGGTTTTCATGTTTCTGGTTGTTTTTCAATGCTAAAATCCTCCATAAAAACTCCTTTCATGCAAAACAACAAAAATAATTTCTTTTTTAAAGGAAACTTTCTCTGGGGACTAAAAGCAGAAGGATTACAGAGGGAAAACTTTTATTCTTTACTCAACTTTCCAACAACACAGGAAGTTGATCTTAAAATTGGGTGAAGGGGTTTAATTCTACCTTAACTTTCCACCACTGAACACACACCTTCCATGGTTGTTTCTCCTTGAGTTACACTGTGTCCCTTGCTGGAGTTTTCTGCTGTTGTATGAATCCATCAACAGTTGAGGGAGGAAGGGAGGAAGGGGTTAATGCAGGAAAGAACTGAACCATAAAATTTATTGGGGAAGGGGATGAGTTAAAGGAAGGAAAAATTAGTTTATGCTGTTAAGGATCTTGGGCAAAAAGGAAGATATTTAGTGTTTTCAACACTTCATGATTTTTATTTGATGCCTGGGGGTAAGATCGACCTCCAAGTCAAATGGAAATGAAGCAGCAAGTTTTAGTAGATTTTGAATTTTAACACAGAGAATAGAGAGTGGCTCCTAATCTGTAAAGCCGGACATGCCAGGTGACTTTTTTAAAGTATCAACTCCATGACATTTGTTCTATTCGTACGCTTCATTTATATTATATCATTTAATGCTAATAAACACATGTAAAGTAGTTACTATTATTATTAATCCTATATGCAGATGAGGAAACTGAAACTTGAATCAGTCAAACCACTGTGCATAGGTGCTGAGTGGGAAGTGGAGCTGACCTCAGTGGATTCCTAGTGTAAGGGGTCATTGGAAATAACTACAGTAAAATCTTAGTGCTACAGTGTGGATCGTTGATGTCCCCAGAGGTTCATGTGTGGATAGCTTGTTCCCTGGAGTGGCACTGTTGTGAGGCTATGAAATCTTTAAGAGGTGGGGCCTACATCTTCATCAGAGGTATACCCTTGAAAAGGGTATTGCCCGCCCATTCCTTTTCCTCTTTCCTTCATTCCCTGTCTCCCACGGGGTAAGTGGTTTTGCTCTAGCACATGAGCCTGATGTGCTGTCACAAGCCCAAGGCAATGGGGTTGGATGATTTTTTTTTTAATTTTTTTTTTTATTGGTTGTTCACAACATTACAAAGCTCTTGACATATCATATTTCATACATTAGATTGAAGTGGGTTATGAACTCCCAATTT